TCCTTCCTTTCTTTCTTTCTTTCTTTCTTTCTTTCTTTCTTTCTTTCTTTCTTTCTTTCTTTCTTTCTTTCTTTCTTTCTTTCTTTCTTTCTTTGTTAATCCTCACCAGAGGATATTTTTTCCATTGATTTTTAGAGAGAGAGTGGAAGGGAGGGAGGGGGATGGAGGGAAGGAAACAGAAAGAGAAAGAGAAATTTCAATGTGAGAGAGACACCAATTGGTTGCCTCCTGCATGCACCCCGACCAGGGCCAGGTATCGAGCCTGCAACCCAGGTACATGCCCTTGACCAGGACTCAAACCCGTGACCCTTTGGTGCATGCGCCAACACTCTAACCACTGAACCATACCAGCCAGGGTGCAGTATGGTGTTTAAATCTCCAGAAATAATTGTCAGTTTGAGGACAGGACAGATGTTAAACATCTACCCTACACCAGGCACTGTGTAAGGCACTGGTCTTATGTCTTAGTCTAGATTCCTCAAAAACAGAACCTGAGACAATAGTTTACGCGCTAACACTTTACTGGGGAGAAGTAGGGAGTGAGGAGAACTGAGGAGTGAGCCAGGGAATGAGGGACACAGGTGGGAATGACCCTAACCCTTAGGAGCTGACCTTCTTTGGGGAGACATGTGTAAATCGACATTTAACAGCGCACGGTTAGTGCCATTTGGAGAAAGTGACAGGGTGCCATGTCAGAAAAGGGGAGATATGGAGACATAGGAGTTAGTCACACAGCAGAAAACATGAGTTGGTTCTTAAATACTGAGTGAGAATTTGTCAGATGAAAAGGAAAGGGAAGAGCACACCAGGCAAAACTAACAAGGTGTAGAAAGTGAACAATGTGCACACATGAGCCTGGTGTTTCAGAAGAATGGCCAGTAGCTTAGCACATCAAATATGTAGAGATCAGAAGCCTGATAAATGGACAAAAGAATCTTAAACAATGCAAGTTAAGACACTCCATGTCTGTCATTCCAGGGGACCAAAACTTGATTTGATGTCATAGAGGCCTGAGGTTTTAGACATGGCCCTCCCAAGATTGACACCTTGCTGACCGGCATTTTGAGCCAGAACTCGCCCGTGACTGGTCAGCAAGGTGTTTAAAATTACTTAAATTAATGTAAGTGCAGACACGAGTTATCTCAAGATCGGTCAGCAAGGTGTATTAACTGAGCTTCCTTGTAAATGTTCCCCTTACATCTGAGGGGAAAGGAGGGCTAATATTTTGGACATGAGAAAGCTCATATCCTAAAATCCACTTCATTGCATACAGGTGTCAGAGCTAAGTGATCCTAACCTGTTCTATTTAGGAGACATTCTGCCCCCTTTCAGAGGAGGCACCCTCATTCTGGGGAGCATGTCCAGTCACCCCTGGGTCGGGGCAGACGCACCACCAGCAATTACTTTTTAAGTGCGTGTGGTGCTTGGCTCTCTATGTTTAATATCTCATTCAGTTCTCACCACAAACCCGTAAGACAGGCACTGTCTCCATCTATGAACACACAGCCTCAGAAAGGTTAAGAAGTTGTTTCCCAATGTCAACTAGTCAGTAAGAAGAGCTGGGATTCAGAGACCAGGAATGTTGTAAACATTAAATAATACAATGCCTATAAATTAGCTAGTACTTAGTATGCACTAAACAAAGATTACATTTCTTCCATGAGCTGGTTATTGGAAGAAGGCTCTGCTTGAGCGAAACTGTGCTGGGAGATTCAAGACTACGCAGTAGCCACTTTAAATTCATGCTGGATACCACCTCACGTGGGTATTATAACCTCCCACTGATTGTCATCTTCTATTAATAAAAAGCAAGCTATTTTCAGATTTTGGCCTGTGAGAGGTGGTTGTGTAAAGACAATAGGTTCAGACTCATTACCTCCCAAAGGTATGATACTTCTTAAAATGTTAACACTTTAGCCGTCTTCATGAGAGATGATTTGTATCGTGGAAGAATTTTGGTATATTAATATGAGAGAGTAAGTATTTAAATTACATATTTTGTTGCTGACAGTTCAGCTTTGTAAAGTTTGGGAATAGTTTTGTTTTAGTACCTGGGCGGGGCAGCCGCTTAGGTTTGGTAGTGTTGAGGATGCCCACTAGATGGCGCTGTTGGCCTCATTTTTGTTTCTATAGTCACCCTACCCCACCCCACCCCTCTTGAAATTTTTGTTTTTTTACACTTTCCCAGAAACAAAGGAAGTGTGATACATTTCACAGTTTTTCTAGCTGCCTTTTTATATGTTGCAAGGTAACTATACTCCTGATAATGAGCCAGATAGACGAATACTGAGAATTGAAAGGGGAAGATGGTGGGAAGGAGTTGTTAAAGGAGAGACATGCCAGCCCCCACTGAGTTCCCCAAATGCAGCGTTTCTGTGAGAAAGGTATAGAGAGCCGTTCCTGGTTCTGCTAAAAGGGAAAGTACACTGAAGGTATTTTGTTTAGGGCATGGACTGTCCTCACAGTACTTCCTGGTCAAGTAGAATTAGGTTTCAACGCTCTTCTATAAAAATCAGGGCACTGCCCATTTATTGACTTGTTATGAGGTTACACAGGATGTTGCATGCAAAGTGACTGACATTACCCTGGCACTGGGGAAATTCTCAATGAGTAGCTCTTATTTTTTTTATAGCTATGTTTTTTATCATATTCAAAGAAATTAAAAAATATACAACAGGAATCTGTAGGAGGCTCCTGGGCCTTGAGATGTGAAGGGAAAACACCCCTCTTGGATCAGAGAGCAGGGAGGGGGCAGTGCTTGCCAAAGGAGAGCGCTGCTCCTCTGTGGGAGACAATAGCTGCCTTCCCAGATCCTCCCCAGTTGTGAAACCAGAGATGAGGCAGGCAGGACAGGGCAGCTGCCTCCCTAGTCTCTGCCAACCACCTCCTAGCCCTCCCCCGCCTCCTGCACCACCATTAAGCCCTGGAGAAGCTCAGACCCCATTCTCAGCTTCCCTCTCCCCTCACGCTGTACTCTCTCCCCAGGGACTGGTTTTTATTATTGAGTTTTTCAAGTAAACTTGATCTTTTTCCGCAGCCCCACCGGCCTCGTCTTTCTCACCTTGGGTCCACAGGGATGTTGCCCTCTGCCGGAAGGCTCCTGCAGGCTCTGGCCAGCTCCCTCCAGCTTCAGCTCCACCTCCCTCACTGGGGCAGAGCCCAATGCTTGGTACTCCCTTAGGTCCCTCTGCTTCCCCTGCAGTGTCAAAACCTTATGTAATGGCTTCATGACAGCTTTTCTCTGCATTTTGTGAAGGCGCCCACTGGCTGCAGCCCATTCACCTTTATATCTCCCATATTCAGCACAGTTCTTGTCACAGTTATGAAAAAGTTTGGGTAAAAATAATTTAAAATGCAATTTGGTATTACTGTAAAAAAAATACTTTTAATGGCTGGCTCGTAGCTCCAGATACTAGCTCTTTGAATACTTCTTCCTTTAGGTTCTGTGACACCAAACACTATGGTAAAATGAGCTATGTAATTTGTGGGGCCCAGTGCAAAATGAAAATGGCCCCTTGTTCAAACATAAAGGGAAAAGTGCCACTAAAGGTGCTAAAATGTGCGATAGCATTGAATCAAACCAGGTGTACAGCCCTTCTCATCACAGGGTCCCTCCCTCTCCCCGAAGCTGGCTCTGTCCTTGGTTTCCCCCCTGTGTCACTGACCACTCCTTTGAGCTCCTTTGCTGGTGGTGGTTCTTGATCCCCTGCTCTCACTTGTTTTTCTGCTCTCTTTGCCTATGTGGCCTGACCCAGTCACATGTCTTCCAGATTCACATCTTGGAGCTGCAGATGGTTCTATCCAGCGGCCGAATCATGTGCACTCCGACATCTGATGGGTATCTCCAAAGTCACATGGCTTGGACAGAGTCCGGGTCCATGCTCCCACCTATCCTCCTCCTCCCGTGATGTCCCCCATCTCAGTGATTGTTGCTCGGGCCTAAAACATTAAGTTGATTTTTATCTTTTCCCCTTAACCTCACACTCAAACTAAAGGAAATCCTTTCAGCTTGACGTCTGAGCTGAACCACGAACCTGATCAGTTCTCAGGAGCTCTACTGCCATCATCCAAGTGTGATCTTCTCTTTCTGGTACCACTGAGACAGCCTCCCAAATCCCCTCCCTCTTTTCCCTTGCTCTTCTCGGTCCATTTACTTCATAGCAACCAAAGGGATCTAGGACATGGAAAAGAGCCTGTCACTCAAATGCGTACCAGGCTCCCTGTGACCGCTCCTGTGCCTCTGACCTCACTGCCTCGGGATCTCGCTCCCTCATTCAGCCCCAGCTCTGTTCTGCTCGCTGCCTCCCTCCTCAGGCCCTCGCCGCCTGCCTGCCCCTTCTGCATGGAGTGAGTGCTCTTCCTGTCACACAGCCCTCCTGCACAGTCACTGAGTGCTGCCCCCTCGCCTTCAGGTCTTGACTTAAATGCCATCTCCCCAGAGACGTTTTCCCTGAACACCCAAGGTAAAGCAGCCCCCTCCTCCCCATCAGTCACTCCCTATCCTCTTACTGTTTTATTTCTTCATTGCACCGTCAAAAATTATCTTAGTTATTCTTTATGTTTATTACACACACACACACACACACTAATAATTTACAAGTTTTGTTTCCACCTGAATTCTGAGCACCTAAAACGTCCCTTGGTGGTATGTGTTCTACCTCACTAGAGTGAACATACCTCCCCATGCTTATGAAGGTCTAATCATAAACAAATGTTCATTTTATATCTCTCTCTTATTTTCTTCCAGGTTGTTTGGGCGGATAGTTACAAAGTTGGCTGTGCAGTACAATTTTGTCCTACAGTTAAAGGCTTAACTTTTCCCAATGCTGCACATTTTATATGCAACTATGGACCAGCGTAAGTGCCCAAATCAACCTCTTTCTAAAAAAAATTTCCAATTCTATTTTACAAGTATTTACCTTCATTACAGAAAATCTAAAGTGTAAAAAACAAAATTAATATTAGCCTTAATTCCTCTGCCTAGAAATCTACTCCATTAACATTCTGATATATTTTTGTGTTTGTGGGGTGATATGCACCCTTTATAAATACTACATAAATACATATGTACATTTTTAACAGTAGCAAGACTAAAATGTTTTCAGGGACACAGATTAATTGGATATGGTAATAATATCGCAAAATAAGAGGATTGGTATTAGTTTATACTTACTGGTTTATTAAAAACTTGGCAATTTTTGCACAATTGTCAAAAAAAATAACTCTGAGTTGAATTTCTCTATTTATATAACTTATTTCACTTACTTTTGACAGTTTTGCTTTCAAATGGATACAATTTGTCTCCTTTGGAAAATGGGGAAGACATATGACCTCTCTCTCCCCCACCTTCCTTTAAACTGACGTACCTGTGCTTATACGTCACACACCTATTTAGAAAACGGAGATCACAGGGGAAATACATGTTTCTGTTTTTTACTGGAAGTTATACCATGAGCGCTTTCCGGGTCGTTATGCTTTTCTACACTGCTGCTCACGCGCTGAGAGCTGCTCCGAGTGCTTCGTATGCAGTAACTTATTTAGTCTTCACAAAGTCTGAGACAGCTCTGTTACTAGCCTGCTTTGCAGATAAGAAAGGGAAGGAACCGAGAGAGTGGACAGGCTGCCGAGGTCCCTCAGTCAGCAAGTGTCAGAGCCAGACTCTGCCCTGGGCTATTGGCTCCGGAGTCGGAGTCGGTGCTCCTCAGGGTCACACCCGTCCTCCAGTTCTGGAGTCCCACTCCCAGCTTGTTTCCATTGCTCAGGACAGTCTGACCCCTCTCCTCCTGGCAGCTCCAGGTCTCTCTGATCTGTACTGTCCCAAGCACAGGTACAATTCTCTCCTCCATTCCCCGGGGCCTAATGAGCAAGGCTACGCTGTGTAACAGGCCTTCACTCTGCACCAGTGGAAGAGAGGATTGTAACACGGAGGAGGGAACAGCAATGTTGACTATCAAATAGCGCAGTGCTTAGTGTACCTTGGTCACCACTGCCTTCGGAACCCTTACCTACGTTAATCTTTTTTTTAAAGGTCTTTTTCTTTTCTAGATCCCCAGGCCCTAACTCTCTCAGGTTACCAAGGGAAACAAAAATTTCCTGCTTCTTTATTGGGCAGGATACTTTAGGGCCCTCTGTCTTAATCTGTCCCACCTGGACAAATCCAGGCCTTCCCACGAGCATGTTTCTCCCAAGATGAGTTCTGCCATTTCCCTAGAACTCACAACTGCCCGTTTTTAGCTTGTTTTTGAAGTAGCCATTTCCCCCTCTTCTTTATAGTTTGGAATACACAATTAGACAAAGAATGAAGTAGCATAAATGATTTTATTAAAAACATTCTAGAACTTAACCAGTGCTTTTTGACAATGAAAGATATTCTGATGATTAATGTACATTATGGACTTTTTTTTTAATGTTTTTATTGATTTCACAGAGAGGAAGGGAGAGGGAGAGGGAGAGAGAGAAACATCAATGATGAGTCATTGATCGGCTGCCTCCTGCACGCCCCCTGCTGGGGATCGAGCCCGAAACCCGGGCATGTGCCTCACCGGGAATCAAGCCTCCACCTCCTGGATCATAGGTAGATGCTCAACCGCTGAGCCACACCGGCTGGTCATTTTGGAAATCTTTTATAATTGTTACCAGAATCTCCACTACATTCCCTTGGTATGATTATTTTCCATGGTGTACAGTAAGCATGAGGGTAAATCTAATTTCTGAAACAAACTAAATTAATTTGGAGCCAAAGATATATTTGGATATATATTTTTATTTTAAATATATTAGGAAATATATTTTTGGGTTGGAAATTAGATGTTAATATAATGTTTCTAAAGGGGGAGAGTTAACTTTGGAGGTAAATGTATAGTATTAGGGGAGGGGAGTCCCTGAACTTGGATTAGAAAAAAGTAACACCGTATTTTCACTCCCTCTACTGAAAGTAACATTTCATTATGAATGAAGGGAACACTCCAGTCTCGTCAGCAACACCTGTGAGTTTGTATTGGCACTATTATATCTTGGTAAATATCACAGGTATTTTCATATCACATCCCAGTTGCTGCAGATCATCTCAAATTAGTTTTTATTCATCACTTTGAAATTAATGTAGACTCCCTGCTTGATCTTATCTAATATTTAATAAACACAGATTACTATATCACAAATATTTTTACCATTTTGACAACTTTCAATTTAGTTTCCATTATAATCCTAAGAACTTTCTGTTCTTCACTAAAAACAAACTATTTTCAGGAAGAGTCCATAGGCCCCACCAGGCTACCAAAGGTACTGTGGCATAAAAGGAGCTCCTTTCCCAAAGCAGAGTTCCAAGAAGGTTAGTGCAACTGCAAGTTCACCGAAATAAAGGCACAGCTCCTCATTTCACTCTCAAGATAGTCATGGGGATATAAAATATTTGGATATTATTTTACTCTCTAGTCTGACCTTGGTCAATTACTTACACTCTGTGCATCAATCTCTAGCTTTATAATGGGGATAAATAACTGTATCTTCCTCGCAGGGATGAGATTAATTCATTAGAACAGTGTCTAGCATCAGGAATACTCAGTAATTATGATGTTATTCATATCACATCTTTTATGTGAAAGCAAATTGCACTTTAGAAATCCCCCCATATCTTATTTTCTTTCGTTAGGTGCTTTTCCAGCCCAATGGCTCCTGTCCAATAAAAGCCATGGAGGCCGTGGACTGAGGAGAGTCAATGTAGGTGGCAACACCCTTTTTTTTTTTTTAATTAATCTTCACCCGAGGATATTTTTTCCGTCGCTTTCCAGAGGGGAGGGAAAGAGAAACATCAATGTGAAAGAGGCACATCATTTGGCTGCCTCCGGCCCGTGCAGGCCACGCTCTAACCAGCGCCAAACTGGCTAGGGCACTCACCTTTTCTAAGATGGGCAGCTGGACGGCAATGACATGGAACCAGGCAGTTAGAGGGAGCACTGTCCTGGAGCCAGACCAATGTGGGTTTCATTCTGACTCCAATATATACTGTGATACGTATTGTGATTTGGAGCAAATTACTTAATCTTTAGAGTTTTAGTTTTCTAATAGAAATAAAAATATCTTCCTGCCAGAGTTGTCTTAAGGATTAAATGAGATGATGTAAATTAAGATATAGGCTCACAGACATAGGCACACAGAACAGACTCATTATTAACAGGCTTCCATTTCTGCTTGCCTCTCTCCACTTCTCTCACCAACCCTCTGAATCTGTGGACCTCCACCCTATGGATTTAGTCAAGGGTTCACAATAAATTACAATTGAAAAACAAAACAATCTCTCCTGATACAGTTTTCTTCTACTTTATAGAGGAAATTACCCTACCTGGCCATATAAAAAAGGACCCACTTGCAGTGCTTGCCCCCAAAATGACAATTGTTTGGACAATCTGTGTGGTGAGTAAAAGAAACAATCTACTGATAATACAGTGTGTTTGGAACTATTTTAACGTTCTACAGTTAAGAATGCAAATCTTTGCTTTAGCCTCACAGCTATATTCAGGAAGATTGCATCAGGTAGCAAGCAAACCAATGGCTTCTTTTCCCAGGAATGAATATATGTTTAAGATAAATTTAAGGAAGCACATAATACCCTTTTTATTTAGTTCTAATCAATATGACACTATGGTGTTAGGAACTACAGACCAAAGATATGCTAACTTCAGCAAGATAAAACATTTGTGTAACAAAGCTATCCAGACGAACAGGATTCTGAATTTTGTGATACTTGTCCAAGGCACTCAAGGCTGCATTTTTGTCTGTAGAATAAATAAGCTGTAATGGGGCATTTTTTAAATTAGCAAAACAGCATCTAGTGAGAAACGATGTAGAAAGCCAATGAAGGCAACTTCAAGGATGTTTTACCAAATGTCTTAGAAAAATTCTGCTTTGTAATTTTGAAATAATCATTCATAATTGACCACGAGTTTATTTATGGTTCCTCTTCCAGACACATTCCTTTTCATCCCAGTACGTTTTTAAATTTTTTCCCATGATGTGAAGAAAGGAAACCTCAACTAAGCTATTAGAGTTGTGCAAATCCTGTAGTACTTTTGTGTCCAGATCTGTAACCAACTGAACTCCCAGAGCTCCAGGGACAGGGTGGGGTTCTTAGAGCAGAGGCAGGATAGAGTGGACCGAGTTTAACTGCATAAATTATAAAATTCTTTTAGACGGCTCGTTCCCTTTCTCCTGATGTAAACACTTAACTCTCATCTTTACTCCAAGAACAGCAACACTTTATTTTTAATCTTCACCTGAGGATATTTTTTCCATTGCTTTTCAGAGAGAGAGAGAGAGAGAAACATCAGTGTGAGAGAGACACATCAGTTGGTTCCCTCCCCCACCCACCACAACCAGGGCTGGGGATCGAGCCTGCAACAGAGGTACCTGCCCTTGGCCATAATCAAACCCGGGACCCTTCAGTCCGCAGGCCGACGCTCTAACCACTGAGCAAACCAGCCAGGGCAACAACACTTCATTGACCAGCTTCCTGAGCCAGTCATTTCTCCCCAGTTCAACCTTATTTCACTCATATCAGTTTTGTTACGAGAACTTGGTAAGGTGTAGTTTAAGTGCAACAAATCTCAGAGTATGAATATATTAGCTGAATTTTCCCTTCTTGTTGCTACAACACTACATTTTTTTTTTTTACAAGTTAGTCTTTATACCAGGAGTTAAAACCATAGATTTTAGAAACAATATGCCGAGGCTTCCAGTCAAGATGGCAGAGTAGGTAAACACAGTACTCACCTCCTCCCACAACTACATCAAAATTACAACTACAGAACAGCCATCATCGAAAACTGTGTGAAGTCTAGCTGAACAGGACACTTCTATATATAACTGAAATTTTTTCTGTATATCTAAGGATATACAGAAGATGAAGACACCACATAGAGACTGGTAGGAGGGAAGGAGACTCAGAACTGGCTGGTCCTACACCCATGTGTGGGGGTTAAAAGTTGGACGGGATATTTTGGCTGCAGAGGCCCCCCTGAGGAGCTGGGGTCTCATCCCCACACCAGGCTCCCCAGCCCTGGGTTCCAGTGCTAGGAAGTGAGGTCACCGTAACTTCTGGCTGTGGAAACCAGTGGGGATTGTGGCTGAGGGAGCCGGAGGGCTGCTGGAGTCCCAGGCAGTTCCTCTGAAAGGGCCCACATGGACTTACTCTCTCCGACATCCATCCAGGCCTGGGGAGGAAGCTCAAAAGACACCAAAGACATACAGAGAGGAAATGAATTATCTGGCTTCAGGGCAAGCGCTGGAGGGGCAGCTTTCTCCCAGACAAAAGTTCTGGCAGAAGCCATTGTTTCTTTACTGAGACCTCCTTTTGCAGGCCCACATAGGCACCACATCTGAGTCTCCATCAACCTGGCTAACGCTATTCACCCCACCCCACCCAAGTCATTTACAGTGACTTTTCCATACAAGAGGCCTGTCTTGTCTCATGCTGCTGACGTTTCTAAAATCTCTCAAAGGTTCACAAACACCAAACAAACAGTATCTGACCTTGGGTGCCCCTTACCTCTTGCTAAGTGGCCTTAGGCCCAGCACTAGCAGCAGCTAGAGTTGGTTCACAGTTTACCCTCTCCCAGGCGCCTCCAAGCCCAGCACAACTGGAAAACAACTGCAGATCATTTTGTACCTCAAACCAGGTGGCCCCGGGCAGGGCACAGGAAGCAGCAGATCTTGGCCTGCACCTCCCAAGAGGCTCTAAAGCCAACACACCTGGTAGCCAGCTTCAGACCACACTAGAGTACCGCCCCACAAATGACGCACTCAAAGGGCAGACTCGCCAGGCACCAGACCACCCAACTCAGGTACCAGGGAGAGTGAACCACTGGGCTTCACAGGACATCTACTACATAAGGCCACCCTACCACTGGGAGAAGTAGCAGCTCTAGCTGACACAGAAACAAACACAGGGAGGCAGCCTAACTGAGACAGAAACATGTCCAAAATGAAAGTTGTCTGGGCCTATTTCCTCAATAATAAAATGTAGATAATAGATCTCTTCACAGGTTGAGCGAAGTAATTCAAAAGAACAAACAAACAAAATACACAAACACACACTCTTAGAACATGGGCCTGGCATACAGCAGCACTCAGTATTTCCTATTATCTCCCAAAGCATCCTCCCTATAATTCCAAATCTAGAGTTTACTCTTGGTGTTTTTTAATGTCCACATTTTTAGGTGACGTTTTTATGCCCATGAACAATTCTGTTTAAAATCAGTGATTCAAACTGAGCCAGTGCCTATTCTGACTGGCAAATAAGCATTAACAGAGTGCATGTTTCCTAAAAACAAAAAAACAACCACCCCACCTTCCTTTAAAAAAACCTAGCTAATTAGTAACAACACAATGCTAATAAGAAGAAAACTGCTAGAGTTTAACTTTTGATATAGGAGATCCAGCTGAAGATGGTGTCCAATCTTGGGGAATAAAATTCAGAAAGCTGAGGCTGTAGTTACCAATAAAGAAAGAGACTCTGGGCCCTTAAGAGAGATAAAGGGAAAACACATGCTAACTTGCATGGGGGGTAAGGGTTAGAATAAAATATTTTATTCAACAGATTCCTTCCTTGACAAATTATGGCAAATACTGAAGGAAAAAATTCCTTTGTGGTCTTCTAGATACTGTTGGTAGTTGCAATAAATACCCATCAGGGCCAAATCAGGATGACTTTGCAAAATGTGCTGGGCATACTGGATGGTACACAAGATTTCAGTGCATGGGTACATTTGTCTCAATATTGAAGTTGAATATTTAACATTTAAAGAATACATACGTAAGAAAAAATATAAGTAGCACATTCCATTCTTGATTTCACAGATATAATTGCCAAGAAAAGTTAAAGGAGCAGCAGCTTCACAGTAACTGGCCATAGAAAATGCCCAGTGACAGGTGTGATGATCGGGATGCTCACCAGCACCCACAGGGCCAGCTCCTTTTTTGGGTTCCATCACAGGAGTCCAACAACAGCTGGAGCAGATCTGGTGTCAAAAGGTGTCTAATAAAAAGTATCAAGAAGGCTAAGGCAGAGGCAGAGTTTTCTTCCTAGGGCTCTAATGTCAAATTCTGAATAAAGCTCAGTATGGGGGAGGGGGGGTAGTAATTATGACTGATTGCCAAATGCCCTATTTGTAATTTACCGACATACTGGAATGGATGAGAGAGGCCACTATCTCTTTTACTGACTGATCATCAATAATATCATTCTTCTAAGAGAAGGATTTATTTTCAGGAAAACTATTTTAAAATTGCTCACACTATTACTAATATTTAATTATTTTAAAATTGTTTTAATTTTTAATTTAATTGTATTCATTTGCTAAATATGGTATATAAAGTGATTTTCCATTTACAGTAGTGGTATATAAAAAGTTCAAAGTTTATATAAAAAGTTGCTTTAAAAACATCGAGTACAGTTAGTAAAATAAAATCTTGAAAAAGTAACCTTTGAAAAATCACTATAATAAAGCCAAAGCAACAGTTAACGATTACAATTAGAAACTTGGCTTTTTAAAACAAAAGTCTCACCAGTACCTACTCTTTTTAATTTTTTCTTCTCTGACTTTACAGCTAACCCACAGCGAGACAAACTCACACGTATGTATACTAATCTTAATTGTTTCATTAAGATCTTTGTGAATTATATTACTGCATTACGAGAAACAGCGTTTAAGAGGATTCTGTATGTTTGTTTCACAGGTTACTACTCTATTGTGTATCCAGACTGGCCGATATATTCACGGAATAAACGCCTATCTCTTTTTTTAGCTGTTAGTCCACCAATACTAATCCTGAGTGCTACTATTACCATCTTGGTCAAGTACAAATACTTCATTTAATTCTTTTGGACTAATACAATCCAGAAAAAAAGTTTACAAACTCATCTATATATGACTTTTTAAAAATAACAATTGGGTGTGTTTCTAATTTTAAAACATTCCAGAAAAAACCCCACATTGCTGCAAGAAAGCCATAATCAAAAGAAGAAACTGTTTAACGTCCTCACTCTACAGGATAAACTCACTTTATTTCCCATGTTCTATGAATAAGCACTGTTTCAAGGCTGCCACGCTGTGACTTTCAGTAAGTAACCTTAAATGAGTGAGCTAGACTTAGGTGCTTCTAAATAACTCCACTGGCCTTCTTTAGTATAAACATTTCTACATAACTTGTGTGCTGATTCAATTCTAAATAATCTGGTTTTACCCACGTGCAATTAGAGGTCTTTCCGGTTTATCACTTCCCTGGACTCAGAATAGAATAGTAATTAAGGAATTTGACTTAAGGAGGCCTTGTGGGGTTTTTTTGCTTATGGGTTGTTTAATCTTGGAACAAAATTTAAGATTACAAAAAGGAATAAACCTAAGTATTTGTTATCAGTAGACAGAGCACTGAAAAACCTGCATTTATTTTCTCAAAACCAAATGCTAGGACATAGTTGTACTTAAAGACGAACCAATGGCATCAGACATTTGATTTGTTGGCTAATTACAACAGCCACATTTCAAAAATCTTTACATCAACCTAAAGAATTATTTCTAGTATCATGCTAGACCAAGTCTGCCTGGAACAGATTAGGTGAAATGTGTACGAAGACATATATACCACTTCTAGTACAAAAGTTTTCAAAAAACACATGGAAAATATAATTTATATTTATAAAGAACAGCCGTATAAAATAAACACTCTTATAAAGAACAAAACGAAACCAGAGTATTATCTTTTTCTTTTTTCATCCTCACTGGAGGACTTTTTTCCATTGCTTTTCAGAGTGGAAGGGAGAGAAAGTATTACTTCTTCCACATAAGGCAACTAATGTCCTAGTATCTCAAAGTCCTTTACAAAAGGAGATAGCTTAGTAAGTTCTAGTTCAGGCCTTTTTTGTATGTATTACTTTTTTTTCTCCTTTTTTCTTTTCATCTGCTTCCATTTTAAGCTTAACTTCTTCAGCTGTAAGAGCTCCCAGTTTCTTGTTCTTTGCTTTCTTAACCTTTTCCTTGATGGCAGCCACATCAATTTTCATTTCAGTAAAAACTAGACAAATAAAAAACACAGTATGTGCAATTGTTTAGATTTTACCAAATAAACATAAAGAATATATGTTTAGAACAATAATTTCAGAACACTGTTATAATTGGAAGGCCATGTTATAAAATATAAAACCCCTGCTATTAGCCTAAAGGAAAGTCAGAAATTTCTTTAGGAGAAAAAAAATACTTTAAAAATACATTAGTAAAAGTATACATAAAAATGGCACTATACTTTAGCTATCTGAACCAATTACTAGATTGAACTACATTTCTCCCCCTTAAATCCTAATTGAAATTAGATTATTTTTACTTACAGTTTTTTCCCCATATTTTGGGACTTTAGGTTACTCATTAATATGCCAATTTTCCATCTTGCACATTAAAATAATTTGAAATTACATTTTTAAAGTTTTTATTTATTGATTTGAGAGATAGAGAGAAAAAAAAATCTATTTGTTGTTCCACTTATTTATGCATTCATTGGTTGATTCTTCTATGTGCCCTGACTGGGGATCGAACCCAGGACCTTGGCCTATTAGGACAGCGGTCTAACCAACTGATCTACTCGGCCAGGGCAAAATTACATTTCAAGAAGAGTATTACATGTAGCCCAGCAGTGTGGCTCAGTGGTTGAGCGTTGACCTATGAGCCAGGAAGTCACACTTAGATTCCCAGGTCAGGGCACATGCCCAGGATTCAGGCTCGGTCCCCAGTAGGGGGTGTGCAGGAGGCAGCTGATCAATGACTCTCATCATTAATGTTTCTATCTCTTTCTCCCTCTCCCTTCCTCTCTCTGAAATCAAGTTTCTATGAATTTTGCTATTAATGTTGTGACCTAGACATAGTCTTACCTTTATTGCTTCCATTTTCTGTCGCTTTTTTGACTTTCCTTCAGAAAGTATTCACCACAAGCCAGCTATTAATCAATCTGTTGAAATCAGTATTTACAATCACATCAGAAATAATGTAGATAAGAGTCATTTTCTAAGAAAGGAATGTCCATGAGGTAAAGACAGTGGTGTCAAAAATCTATTTGTTCATAAAAGGAGTGAGGAAAAACAGAAGGAGCTCTAAGCTGAAGGGGATACGAGCACAAAAGCATGGAGGTAGGACAGGAGGTGATGTGTCACAACAGACTGCTTTAAGTAGGGGGAAAGGCCAGCGATTCAGAAATACAGTAGGAGAGGAAACTGGAAAGATAGTTTTGAGGAAGCTTGAATGTCAGAAGAATGTGGGACATGATTTAGAAATGACTGAAGTTTCTGAGAAGAGTGAAGAGAACAAAGCAGCAAAGGTAAGAGGAACGGAGAAGAGATAAAAGCCTGGAACTAAGGCAGTGGCATGCAACATGAAAACCAAGAATCGTCAGGATTTGGTGACTAATGAAACACTAGAGAAAGCTCCAGCTCATTCACTCACTATACAGTCGACATTGGTAACTGACTATCTTGTACGTACACAGCATTATATCTAAGGCAATGTTCTTGTTCTAAACTCTTCACAGCTGTAAGTTCCTTACAATTACGAACTCATTTAATCCTTGTTAACAATTCCTTGAGAATGGTGTCACTATCCCCATTTTATATATGGGGAAACTGAGGCATGCATGGTTTAATAAGTGATTAGCAAACAGGTGGCAGAATAAATCAACTGAGAATCACTGTTTCAAGAAGCTTACAGTTTAGGGGAAAAAGATGAGACGACTGCTAACGATAGGACAGGCCACGAGAGGTACAGCAGGTGCATGGAACACGCGTCAGTCCCTGGATCCATCACTTCCCCCAACTACCAGTTTCTTTCTGGCTTCACCTTCTCCCCTTTCCAGAGGAAACCTCATGACCCAACTCTTCCCCTGTTTTTTCCACCACGATGGCCACCATTTCTTTCTCCCTTTGACCTTTCATCAAACCTTCCCCCCCAAATCGTCATACACAGGGCTGGTGAAGACAGACAGCATCCCTAAAGGGAGGGGTTACATGCTGAGCACAAAGAACGAGCAGGAAGGGAAGAGTCTCCAAGAGAGGGAATAATGAGCCAGAACCCGCAGGAGATAGGTGAAGACGGAACTAAAGGAGCAGGTAAAGGAAGGAGTGACACAGATGGGAAAATTCAGGTAAGAGGAGGAAGTTGAAAGAGTTTTTGCCTGACGGTCTCAAATATTTCAGTAAAATAAAGTTCACTGTCATCTGCTAAGAGTGGGAGGGTGCCTGGAAAATTAAGAACTGCCAGACAATACTGAGGACCTATCTGAGATTGGTAACATAAATTGATCATAAATATAATCCAAAGGCATGACCTTCTCTACCTATGTGTGGTAGCCACATTACAGCAAAAAAGTCAAGTTTTAGGACTAATCCAAGTTTAAGAGTTTTGCTGGGCAGGTGTGATGGAAGGAAAAGGGAGCATGAAAGAAAATGATGGGCAAGATGGAAAAGGACATTTTGGAAAGGAAATGAAACCAGAAAACAGTTGACGAAATGAGAGGCATTCGTAACTTAGAAAAAGGATAGGTTTTAGAATTTAAGATTTCAAAACTGGAGCAGTCATGTAGCTCATGGTCATAGGAACGATGCTAAAGCAAAGTAGAGAGCATTTTGAGCTAAATCATTGAATTTTTATCCATGGAACATTTACAGTGGCTGCAGGAATATAAGCGACACCAACCACCTTAACATAATTTACACGCACAGTGTGAAGTCCTCCCACCCCCATGCACTTTGCTCAAAATAAGCTTATTTACAGTTACCTTCAGTTTCTTATATCGCTACACACACACAGAGCAATTCCACTTAAAATACCCTCAATAAAGTTTTAGACAAAATTGATTATAACAGTTTCCCCCTCAAGTAATGAAACTCAACATTTAATACTGACCTGACTTTCTGGCTGTGGTGGTGGGAATGACGTATACTCTTTCTTGACAGTTTTTTTCTTTGGTTCCTTGCATTTGTTCACATTTTTGTGCTTGAACTATGACAAAAATCTTCCCCAATTTTGTGATCTTAATTCAGAATCTTTTGCCAACTCTCATTTAATCATTAAGGTCTTTAGTCATGCAATATACAAATGATGTAAAAATGTTAATTTCAAAAGTCATATATTTGTCCAACTAAGACATAAATATTATTCTTATAAATAGCTCTTAGTCTCTTCAGTAGGAGTAAAGCAATTCCTTAAAGACAAGAATATGTAACTTCGATTTTTAACCAAGCATCAGAAAACCATTAGAAACTTAGATTAATTTATAATTATTAAAATAGAGATGAAAATGAGACTCACTCAGCTTTTTAACCATTACTTCATAAATCCTTCAAATTCAACTTAAAAGCAGGGAGAGTTCTTAATAATATTCCCTGCAAGTGGGAAGCTTTCAGTAGCACCTGAAATATCAGAGGGGGAAAAAAAGCAAACTTTCTCATGATCAGACAAAACAAATATTCTCACATTTCCTCCACTCCATCTGAATTTTACAGACACTGGAACATGAAGATGCAAATCAGGCATCAGGTGCACGACTCTCTCTTTATCTTTAATGTCCCAATGTAACTCAAAATTGTTCTCCTACCCCAATCTAACACAGACGTTTAAACTTTACTTCATTAAATTTAAGTGGACTGTTAAACAAATACCCATCATAAAACAGCTCATTATACCATGGTTACACTTCCAAGAACAGTCACGAACTTTGTGCACACAGGGATGTAACAGATCTCTCTCAAAAGGCTAATATACAAAACAGATAAAGCAGAGCTATTTTGGGTAAACTAAACAATTTGAGTGTTAAGTTTTAAAAAAAGGTTATAATGCAATCTGAAATATTCCAGGCTTTATTTAATAGAAAAAGGCAGAATTCTGAAAAATCACATCTTTAAATATAGTACATGGGCTCACAATCTAAAACAGGATTGATACCATCTACAACAAATCCTGTGAAGCTTTTCTTTGTATTAGAACTATTTAATACATTACCAGTGTCCCTGTCAATAGTGGGCTCTTCAGTAGACCTAAGCTTCCAAGGAAGAAACTACAGGACTGGGTAGAGTTGAGTGGACTGAACTCTACCTCTAATTTACACCAAACAGCTCTGCTTTATCTGGTTGGTCTATTAGACTTTCATAAAAAATTTAATTTCAAGAAAGGTTTCTGTAGCTATAAGAAGTCTGACAACCACTGTTATAGCAATATATAATTGACACTCATTTTAACATTATAAATTGGGTGAATATTCTTCATTGTATCTAGGACTACTTTTGGAACCTGAAATTTGCAAAGAAAAGTGAATTAGTCACTTACAAAGATTTTAATGAACCAGGTAGAAGGCAGAAGGGATTACTGTATTGCAAAATATCCTACAAACCAGGCAAAGGCTGCCTAATTGAATAAACAGTTCTTTTGACTGCTCTTAGTGGCTGCTAGATCTTCCATAAGAGTCAACCCTGGATACAATGATGTTACTCAATTGTAAGGCTAAAATGTGACACATGGAACTAGTGTAACACTCTGGAACTGCATTTTGGGAGAAGAGAGCTGGAGTCAGAGTCAGAAAATGTGGGTTCAAATAATAGGACTGCTACTTTATATGGGAAAGCCACTTAATTTTCCTGTTCCAGCTTTCTTATTTGTACTGCGGAAACGAAAATACCTCAAGGGTCTGTTTTAAGAGCTGAATAATATATTTAGACTTTCTAGAACTATAAATTCAATGCATTTAATTCAATGCATTTAAATTCAATGCATTTAAGGTATTATTGCCCCACTAGAAAAGAGCAGATCATTTACAAGAATGAAGTTCAACAGAGCTCTACTAAAGGCTCTGGAAAGGAAGAAGCAGGACCTCCCAGCCACATCCAGACAACAGCATTCAAGGGAGTTAATTGAGACAGTATCTTGTCGACAGACGTCCTCATAACAAATTAAAAAATATGTTCATGAAAACATTAAATAAACATTATAATAAATTCAAACAAAAGAAAATGTTTCTTAAAGGAAAAGTTTTCAGAGTTTGACCTCTACTGTCTATATCTGGTTCCTGCAAATAACATCTGTTCAGTTCCCTAATGTTTGAGCACATGTAACTACATCATGTTTCTCATATGTGCTAGAGACTAAGAGCTTAAATACCCTTTTAACATTTGTAGTGGAAGGAGTGATGTAGTGATGGTATGCAGACCTTTTCATTGAGAAATGGGTGTCTATAATTATTAAAAGCTTGGCCATAACATGTTAGGGTCCAGGAGTGATGACTCCATCAAATTCCATGAAGTACAAAGTATTTACTCATGGGAAATCAAACAAAGCACATTCTAAAAAAATATAATAATCATAAAACATTATGGCTAAATTGTTTAATTTATTCTCTGCTGAAAATTAACTAAAGATAGTAAGTAGTTCTCACCTCTTTCAAGCCACTAAAAGATACAGTAGCTGATACCATGTTTCCCTGAACCTTAATATAAGTTTGTTAAGAGTTCCAATGCCTATATCAAAAGAACAGTAAGTTGAAATTCAGTTGAAATACAATGAAAAACTAATGACAGAGAAGATCCTCAAGTTTTCTACAGATAAAAAGTAATTTCAATGTAGATCCTTTGGGACCAATAAGCCGCAGTCTTCTTTTTACAAATCTTTCGTTACTTCTTACTAAAGAATCTATTTTTATGATGTTGCATGCAACATCATCCTGAAGAATTCGTACTGCCTTTTGGAAAAATAAATATTCCACCAATATTCTTTACAAATACATTTCTTTTCAAATCCCACACTGATATCTAAGCAGAATAATGAAAACTCTATGCAGAGAGGCAGGGAGGAGGGGAGGTAGGGACGGATGGATGCAGTGCTGTATATTATCTCTAATGGCACAAATAAAGCAAAATCTCTGTAATTGTAAATATACCTGTTTGAATGAAACACTCCTTGCTAACAGTTTTATTAGGTCTCTGGTCCTAACGATGATATAGGAATCAAAAGTCTTCTTTGTTGTACAAATAGTTATGCTGTTCTCGATCAGGTGCAGGGCTGTATTAACGTGCTACAGAAAGGAAAGAGCAAACAAGCAGCTGTCCAAAAATTAATTCAATTTTAGATACTTATAAAACCTATCCTAATCTAACTATTAATTACTGTGAATTAATTTCTCTCTAAAATTCTATCAACTCCCTCCACGAAGAAGCTAGATAGTTAATATGAAAAATGCTTGGTTACTTTCATACTTCAAAGAATACAGAAAGTTGGGCAATTGAAACCATTATATTTACTTGGCTTTCGAAAACTTTGTAGTTGCTGGAATAAAGATAATCTCTAGTTTAAAAATATGTATCAATCCAAATCAGGCTATACTTAACACCTAAGGTAAAAATGCAAAGCTATATAGCTTCCCTATCCTGGACCTGACTCTACTCCACTATCTGCTCCTTAGGGTAAGAATGGACTTCTCTTTCCAACTTTCTTCAAGCTGGTTTGTATTAGCTAAATATAAACAAAGTAAAAACAAATTACCATAAGTTCGGAAAGAAGCAGTAATTGGAAAATTACGCATCAACTTTCAGTAGAAAGAACCACATTTCAACAAAGCAAATAAAAATCCTATTTTTTGATATGTGAGCATATTCTGAAGAATATTTCAATATAATGAGTGATGAACTATTCAACATTAGGCTGGGTCTCTATGAGTTTATGGGTGAGAGAGAGTCCTAGATGTAGACAGCTGTAAAACACTGCTTGCAGTCTGCCAAGCCATCCTCATACCCAATGGGCACAAAAGACTCCAGAACAGTCCCTCAGCTTGAGAAATTTTATGTCACAACCTAGTACACATATACATATATACACATATAAATGAACCAAAAGCTTCATAAAATGATCCTTACCACATGTGATACATTCATTTTTTAAAGACTCGTTATATCCACAAAATTGATTTCTGGATCCACTAATGGATTTCAACCCAGTTTGAAAACAAAAACAAATACACCCTCTAGGGGCATGACAGTAGCATCAAGCGGGGAAGTTGGCACATCCACACCTTTCATTTAAAATGAAAATTAAGCAATTAGACAGGAACATGCCTTGACTCAAACTATACAGGTACACGGCAACCATCATAGCACAGAGCAGGCATTCTGAAACTCGCAGTTCACAGATGAGTTTCAGACAGTCTATGAAACCCCTACAATTTTAAAGGCATGTGAATTTTTCAAAGTACTCTACTACTCACAAAATTAAAAACAAATGGATTACAAGAATAAAGCTTATCTAGGCTGTTGAAAATGCCAAAAGAAACAAATTAACCAATTATACTGGCACCTTAAAAAAAAGCCACCAGGATACACACACTTAAAAGTAAAGGTATGCCCTGGCCAGTGTGGCTCAGCAGTTGGAGCATCAGCCCACACATCAAAGGGTGGAGGGTTTGATTCCCGGTCAAGGGCGTGTACTTGGGTTGCACGCTTGATCCCCAGCCCTAGTCCAGGTGCACATGGGAGGCAACCAATTGATGTGTCTCTCTCACGTCGATGTTTTTTTACTCTCTCTCCTCTGTCTCTCTCCCCCTCCCTCCCTTCTTTCTATTCTCTCTGAAAAGCAATGCAAAAAAATATCCTCCGGTGAGGGTTAACAACAACAACAAAAATAATAAAAAAAAAGTGAAGGTATGAGCAGGAGCAAAACCTCAAAGAAATACATAAAATATGCATACATGGTCACTCAAGGCTTTCTGTACCAACAGCCAGCACTCAAGGAAGCCTCTCTATACAGGGTAGTTTACAGTTGCATCGTGACATTCTTGAGTTGATAAAGCTATTGTAATAATCATAACTTGCATGTCTTTTTTCATATGATCTACTATAAACCTACTTTTGCCAACCTCTGTATTTCGGGAACACAGTTGCAAAACTGCTCTCCTCGAAGAGTCTTCTGCGATTGTCCTCTTTGGAAAAAGCTTGTTCCTTCCAACCATCAGGAACAGTGAAGGGTTCTGCTTCATCTACAGGAAAAAAATTATACATCAGATTTTAACCTACTTTTGGACATTGACAAGCTTCTAATATTCTCCTTGTATTTCCTCTTTCTGAGCTTTTTAGATTATTCAACAAACAGGCCTCTATCATTATCAACACACTGTATTAAAATTATTTGTACGTTTCTGTCTCTCATAAAACAAAAAGGGCAGGGGCCCTCCTTGGATCCACACTAATTAGCATATGCCTGACAGATAGTGGGTAATAAGTAACTTCCACTGGACTACACAGTGTTGAATTAAAGATTCAAATACCATTTTGTTTACAAGACTATTTTAAATACTGTATAAGTAATCTTTCAAATTTTACTGAAGCGAAGCCTGAGTATGTGCATGTATATATGCATGTACTATATCTGTGTGTATGTGCATGTGCATAAAACTTTTAAAAGCTGATACTCTGGTGTACACCTTCAGTTAATAATCACTGGTATAGGGTCTTACGTTTTCCAAAAAGTTTTCATGTGCCTTATGTCTGTATATCCATCATGACAACTATGAGAGGTAGGAAGAACCAGTTTTATTTTTCCCATTTTATAAAAGACATTCAGTCCAAAAAGATTTGTGACTTGCCTAAGGGGACATAAAGGTCTTTCACTGAAACAAAGTGTCTCTGAACGGCTGTAAATTATCTCCCACATCATTTATTAAAACTCCTGTTCCTGGATATTAGGTACCTCTTAAATCCAATAGCTGTATCTTTAGTCAGTATCACTCAAAGGTATGATCCATAGGTCTGCAGCATGAGCATACACTGCAAGTGTGTTAGAAATGCAATTCTTGGCCTCCACCCCAGACCTACTGAATCTGGATCTCTGGAATGAGGCCTAAGAATCTCTGGGTTTTTTGTTTTTTTAATCCTCACCTGAAGACACTTTTTCCATTGTTTTTTAGTGAGAGTGGAAGGGGGAGAGGGAAAGAGAAACATCAGTGTGAGAGAAACACATCATTTGGTTGCCTCCCATACTCACCCAGACCCAGCACAAGCGGTGGATCAAGCCTGCAACCGAGGCACGTGCCCTCGGCCGGAACCCTTTAGTCCACAGGCGAACACTCGAACCACTGAACCTACCTGGCTACGGCAAGAATCTCTGTTTTAACAATCTCCTCAGGAGATTCTTATGCACACTCAAGTTTGAGAAGTTGGTCTTCATAGTCCATGTTACCCACCCCAGTCAGGTAAACCTGCTTTCTGTTTCTTATAATGACATTCACTTTGCTATTTCTGGTTCAAATCACAGAGAATTAGCTAGTCTTCATATATCATTCACTTCTCAATACCCTAAAAAAAAGCCCTCAAAATCTACAACTGTCATTACTTAAAATGCACATCTGACCAAGTCCTTACCCAATTTAAACATTTCAATGGCTATGCATTAAAAAACTGCCAAAAAATATATAGGAGTTTCACAACAGAAGAAGTACAAATAGCCCCCAACACATGTGAAAATTGTGCAACCTCATTAGTAATACAAAAAAGTTCAAATTAAGGCCCTAACTAGATACCATTTCATACTTATCAAAGTGACAGAAATTCAGATAATATCAAGCGTTACTGTGGATGTAGAGCAATGAGAACTCTTATCCCCTGCTAATGGGAGTATAAACTGGCACAAACCCTTTGGAAAAGAATTAGCACCACCCGCACATACCCTACACGTCAAGTACATAACCTAGAGAAACTCTTGGCCACGTAAACCAACAGTTATGTACAAAGATGTTAATAGCAGCATTGTTTATAATAGCAAACAATGGAAACAATGCGAATGTTCACCAATGTTAGAATGGAAATATAAATCAGCATATAATACAAGTGAACACCATATAGCAGCGAAAATAGTAAACTACAGCTTCAAGTGTTGCCCTGATTAAGTAAGAAAAACAAAGTTAAGTCTAAGAAGGCACAGAACCACGCCTACAGTCCTCTCTCATTCACATAAAATTCGAAAACAGGCAAATTAAACTGCTTTGTGCATAGATAGATTATGAAGAAAAAGAACAGAATGATCGACATGTTTTAGGACAGTTACTTCATGTCTCAGAAAGAAGAATATGATGTTGAGAGGTGCTTGTCCGGGGCCTTTGGGGTCTGAGCGCGCCTTTCCCGCGTGTTGGTTTTATTATTTAAGCTGGACCTACATATACTGCACCCCGCTGTGTGCGTCCGTAATTAACAACAAAACCAAAACACCTTTAATAACTTTCTAGTGCCTTTAGAATGAGCGTTCAAGGTGGGTAACACTTCCAATAAAGGCTGCCGAGGCCCTGGGCTATTTCTCTAGTCTCTCCTCCTGTCACTCACACTGAAGAAAACGGATAAAACCAGAACAAAAGCAAACGAGACAGTAACGTAAAAGCAGGACAGTCTGAAGAGAAGGAGCCGTTGCTGTCTCATGTTTTAGCAGTCTAACGGAAATAATTACATAGCTTCCAGAAGTTCTTCACGAACCGACAAGCTGGCGTTCAGAGCGGCCCTCGCGCCTCCCCTCACCACCGTCGGCCTCCCCCCTCCGCAGCCTGTGCTCACACACACCGCCGCCTCCCGCTCCCGGACACCCTTCCTCTGGCCAAAGGCTTCCAGCCACCGCCGCCGGCCTAAGGCCCGCCCTCCAAAGCCCCGTAATCCTCGTCATTCTACCGGAGACGAATCCCGCAACACCTCCACCTGGCCCGGGGCCTTTAGCAAAAGCGATTGGTTAGAAACACGCGACCGACACCGTATCCGCAGGCCCGGCCGGCAACCCTAAAAACCGCTATGACAGGCATTCAACTTTAGAGAACAGACTCTAGGCGGCGTTACACGTTCTCAGCAAGCGAAGGAAGCCATCGCAAGTCAACATCCAAACCCAGGCTTCGGTTCTCATTACCTCGACTTTCGAGCTTCGGCTTCTGGTGACGAAATGCACTTTTCCCAGCCGCCGTGGCCGGCCCGTTCTGTTTGGAGGGCGCCATCTTCCTTGTGTCCGGAAGTGGAACGGCTCTTAAATTTTTCCGGCTAAAGTCCCGGTACTCGAGTTCCGCGTAACTTTGACGGGGACCCCTGCGCCGTCTCCGAGCGTGCCTACGCCAGAACCCGCGGATTTGTCAAAACTACAGCGCTTCTCTTACGTGGCCAATGGGGAGCCAGAGGCTTTTCCCCAGGATGCACTGCAGCCGTGGAGTTTGACTGCACGCTGGGAATTGTAGTCCAGCATTGTGAGCAAGTTGGAGACGGGTTTTGACTCATTTTCCTCTGGCCTCAGAGTCTAATGCCGGACGACCCACTCTAGGATTTGGCCGCATGGAGCATCGGGACTGTCACTCATTCAGTAAATATTTATAGGAGAGTCAAAGATGTGTTGGGCGTTGGGAGGAGGTGCTAATATGAGAATACATGGTTCTCAATGGCAAGAAGTGGCAGTAATAGTTACCATTACTCTGTGCAAGGTACTTTATGTGCATTACATCTAATCCTTAAACCAAAGTTATGAAGTGAGAAAACTAAAGTTAAAACAAAATGAGACTGAGAATTTTTTTTAATTTTTGAAGGTGAGTTTTCAAAGTCCTTGTTTTTAATGGTAATTTTCTAGGGTCTTGGTATTTCTCTAAGTCAGCGGGACAGTAATTAAGCAGCACTTCTGAAGAATTTCACCTAGCCTGAGATTCCCCAAAATGACTAACTCCAGGCTACCCCAGCACTGCATATGGCTGACTTCAAGATGTGAGGTTCATCACTACTACAAAGCTCTGCACCTCTAGGCATCTCAAAGTTCTTAGGCTCGCTGGAGATAACACTTCCTTTGATGATTGGTCTTACTGCTTGCCATTTAAAATGTTTTCTACAGCACAAATAGAAAAAGTCTTTCATAAATTCCTTGTATCAGTGAAACGGGAAACTGATCTGAAACCCACCCCTTTGTACTTCTATAAAAGATTCTTATGAGGTACATGTGGAAAACAGATTGTTAAGAGATAGAAGATCCTAAGACACATGATTATGTTAAGATTTTTCCTTTATCCGCTGTGTCTTATAGGCAGTGATTTCATCCCAATATTCTTACAATTTGCTAAAAATAAAAAAATACAAATCCCTCTAGTAGAATAACAGGTGAAAGTTGTAAAGTGAGAAGCAATTCCTTCAATGTTCCCAGAAAACCTAGGAAGCAGGTTTTTATTATCCTTATTTAAGAAACTCAGTCACTAGTAAGTGGTGAGTCAGACTTCAAGCCCAGGCAGTCTGACCATTAGTAGCTCTGTTGCAAGAAGAGCTGGGTTTTCAGTCTCATAGCTTTTGGACTTGAGCTGCAATAGCCACTGTTCTTTGGGTCCCCAGCCTTCTGCCCCACCTTGAAGATTTTGGACTTTCCAGGCCCCCATAATCATGTGAATATACTCTCTATATATTGTTTCTCTGGAGAACCCTGACTAATACAGCAATTTACAGTAGAGCAAATCCAAATGGCTGATAGACATATTACACTCAACTTCATTACTGTCAGAAAAGCATATAGATATAACAATATCCCACCAGATTGGCAAAAAAGAAATAATAAAAATATTTTTTAATGATAAATCTGTTAGAGGAAAGAGCACTATCATACAGGCTGCTGGAAATGTAAACTGTTGCTGCCTTTTTGCAAAGCAATCTAGGAGTGTAAAACATATACATATTCTTCCACAATAATTTTGTTTCTGGGGAACAATCAACTAGAAATAAAGTACCATTCCAATAGGACATATGTATAATTGTGTTGATTACTGTCTTGTATAGAAGTAGTTCAGTGAAAGGTACTTTGAAGCCACACTGACTATTTTAGTGTCTACCGGCTATGTAGGCTTGGGCAAATTTTTAACCTACCCCTGTTCAGTTTCCTCCAATGGAGAGAGTAACCTTAACTCAGTGACTTTATACATGTAAAGTGTTTTAAAAAAAGTGCTTTTCATATGGAACACACTCTATAGATGTTAGCTATTATTTAGTTACAGTGGCAAAAAAATAAAAGCATCTTGACTATAAATTAGAGATAAGTAAATTGATGTTACCTTCATAACCATGCGATATTATGCAACCATTCATAAGAATTAACTCCATATATATTAACTAAGTCCAACCATGGACTTAGAGACCTCAGTTCCCACAAAATTAACCCAGAGGGTATGGGCAGAAAAGTCAGGATGTAGCTTAACAATGTCGGTAGGGCAGGGGTGTGGGTGCATTTATCTTTTATTAAAAAGAGCAGAAACACTGGACAAATAAGCGGAGTTTATTTTTTATTTGATATTTCTAGATTCATTTACCAGGATAAAAATGATTTTTGCACAAGAATCTCTTTTTTTTTTTTAAATAAGCAATCAAGAGAAGTTTCTCAAATACATAGAGTTGAACATTTTTTATTTTCTAATGTAACAGAAAGGTTTCTATTCCAGTCAACCTCACAGAAAGGTTTAAAATCTTAAATCAACGTATATCTATCAAATTCAATAACAGTAATAATGATTATGGTTGTAAAAATAAGGCCCTTTCTAACTCTAAATGACTGCATAATAAAATCAGGATCTAGTGATAACAGTCAAGAAGAAGGAACATGTCCTGGCCAGCTTTGCTTAGTGGTTAGAGCATCGGCCCTTGGACCAAAGGGTTGCAGGTTCGATTCCTGATCAAGGGCAAATTCCCCAGTTGCAGACTGGATCTTGGCCCCAGTCAGGGCGCGTGCGGGAGGCGGCCAATCGATGTGTCTCTCTCACATCAACGTTTCTCTCTCTATCCCTTCCACTCTGGAGAAAAAAAAGAAAAAGCAATGGAAAAAGTATCCTCGAGTGAGGATTTAAAAAAGGAGAGGAAACACGACAAAGCAGCCTCATGTATTTAGAAAAATATTGTCAATAAAAGTGAAGTGTTCTACACGAGAGCCTAGGAAGTGTGGGAATCTAGGGGACTAAATTTGAGAAACGTATTCAGCCAGTCCTGGACTGTTTTCTGCTTTGCAACAGGATGTTTCAGGTGTCATTACCATGGCTGGTGCTGGGATAAACTATCCCTGCAAGATATCCACCTCTTCCTGCAGGGTCACTCCTAGCAAACGCTCTGGAGGGGGAGCCTGGTGTACTGCTTTGGCTGTGAGCCAGCTGTTGGATCTCGGGTAGGCACTACTTAACCAGCCTCTCTGGTTCTTAAATTGTAAAATGGGGGAGTTGAGTTAGATTATTATTTCACAAACTTTAGTCAACCTCAGAATCATGTGGAGTGGTGGCTCCACTCTCACTTTATAGTTCAGTGGGTCTATAGTAGGGTCCGAGAATTTGCAGCCCTGACAAAAAAGAATTATCCAACTCAAAAGTGTCGATAGTGCCAAGATTGAGAACCTTGGGTCTACAGCTGTTCTTAATTTCTGTGATTCTACTTCAAAGGGTAAGTGCTTCACTTCTAACCAGGAATGCCACGAAAGCAGTTATTTTCCACTCTTTTTTCTTACTTAGGGCAGAACTTGCCTGTAATCAAAAGCCAGAGTATCTGGATGATGTTCATTATTATCCCGGGCTCCTCAGCGGACAATCCTGCTCAATTTCCCTCCGCTCTGACCCTGTCATTCTGGAATTTTGTTGTCTCATCACCCAAACAAACAATGGGACTTGTATATGCAGTGGATTCTTGGGGTCTAGAGACACTCAGTACTGCTTGAATGATTGTTTATCTCCATTTCATTTAGCTGTTCTTCTAGAGAATTCTTTTGTTCTTTCATTTGGGACTTGTTTTTTGTCTCCCCATTTTGGCTGCCTGTTTGGGTTTGTTTCCATGTGTTAGGTAGATCTTCTAGGACTCTCAGTCTTCTTGGAGGGTCTCTGGTGCAGGCCAATGTCAGCTACTGTTTGTGACTGGCCTTGAGTACCCTGTTTAAAGTTTTCTGCACTCCACAGTTTCTGGTTCCCTCTGCTGGGGCTGGGTGTGTTTGGACGGGACCAAGATGCACACCAGCGTCTGCGTTTTCAAGCCCTGGGTCCAGAAGCAGATCAGGCAAAGCCTCAAAACACCCAGAGGCTGTTATTCAGCCTCTTAATGAACCTCAGGCTGTAGAAACTCCACAGTGTGGGGTCAGACGTTTTCCAGCAAGGTGGGGCAATTGCTTCCCCTCAAGCAAAAGCTGCTTGGAAGGTAAATGTCTGCCTGAGAAAGATGTCCTCTGCCCTATGGGGGAATGACTCAGCACAAGGATCCAGATGGCTGTCCTCTGAGCTCTATTCCCCTGCCAGCACCCTTGGATTCTCCTCACACAGCTCTAGTCCACTCTGCCCTCCCTCCACTGGAGCCCAAGGTGAGTGGCTGCACACGAAACTTTGTATGTTGGCCCTTTAAGAGGGTACCTTGATTTTCCAGCCATCTCTCCCTGGCAGACAGAAACCCCTTGCTTTTCACAGCCAGATTTTATGTGGGCACCTTTTTCAGTCTGGGGCTCTGAGCTGGGAAGCCCAGCTTGGGGTTTAGACGCTAGAGTTCTCAGTGGAAACCCCCCATAGCTG